TTTCATATGAAAGACATGTAGTTTTGAACATGTAGTTCAAACACTTGAAAGTACAAAGTCAATGATATGTGCAATCAGTTTTCGATATCTTATATGTCTAGCATGACATGAAAACTTGATATGCATCTAAAGTCTATTATATGGCTTATATGACTTAACTTATATGACAATCCATGAAGGATTTAAGTTGCTTGAAGCATATACAATTCTTGATCTTGAAGTACCACTTCCTTAGTGCAATTTGTGCATAAATGTATCTTGCTATAACTATATGCATGATAATATGATAGCAAGAGTTTTCACCCCTATGTGAAGATATTGAAATGATGATTCCAACAAGATCATATGAAGACAATACATCTATCAGGGATGATGATTTCAAGGTGAAACAAATTCGTTGAAGTTAATATGCTGATATTGTTTATCAAATATCTACCAAAGATCTTTTGAAGATGGTGCACAAGATTGGAATGCAAATGCTTAAAGATGTGAATTGATGCTCTCATCAGGGGGAGTTAATATGCGTTGTACTCTTTTTCCCTTACAAGGTTTTGTCCCACTGGGTTTTCCTTGCAAGGTTTTTAACGAGGCAACAAAAATGCGTATTATTAGATATGTGTACTCTTTTTCCTTCTCTAGAATTTTTTTCCCATTGGGTTTTATTTAGTTAAGGTTTTAACGAGGCACATTATCTGTTGAATAGACATTCAAGGGGGAGTGTTATAAATAGAATTTTATTTATGGTGAATGTCTATATTTAGAGAGATTCTAGGGTTTATTACTTGGTGGCTAAGTCACCGTCTCCCTATAAATAGAGGGTTCTATTCCATTGTAATTCAGCCCAAAATTCAATAAGAATTTCCTCTCTCTCTTTCTCTGCAATATTGTTCTTGTTCTTTTATTGTTTCATAACATGAACGACATTTTGCTAAGGGCCTTCGTGCTTTTAATATAGTATAGATAAGAATGGTATCATTATAGTTAAAGACTTTTGGAAGATAAAACTATTTTGCCAAATATATAACAATTCTAATTTATTATTTAATAGCTTTATTTTAATAAACGTAGTTATACATTTACCTCGTAGAGGGTGTAAGTGTAAGATTTTTATAATATAGGGGAAGTAAGTATGATTTTAAAAAGACCTAAAAATTAAAATGAATAATAAAGTTAGCGGTAGAAGTTTCGTTTCTAGATCTTCTGCTATATGTTAGTAAAAAAACTAGCAACAAATTTTATTTTTCATCGCAAACCCGCCACTATTTTACTATACTTTTTTCAGTTTAATTTTTATTCTGTTTAAATTCTATTTTAAGATTGAAGATGTTTTTCATTTTAATCTTTCTTATTTAGAAGTTAATTAATTCTTCAAGATATATACATTGTTGTTTTTCCAAATTTCTATATGAAATTATTTTTTTATAAATAGCATATATTTTTTAGACTAACTCTTGTCATGATTTTCATAGTCGAAGTAAAAGAATCCTTCTACAAATTTTTTTTACAGCTAATTTATTATATAACATATTATTACTGCAATGATAACATCAATTGTATGACAATATATATAGTTATGGTCAATTATGAAAGGTAATTGTCTACTATTAATTTTGTCATAATAAATAATTGGAACAATTAAGCTAACTATTTGTACGTTTTTGTTAACTTGAAGCAAAAATATCAATTGGCTACAAGATTGTGTTTTAATTAATTTAATGTGTCTAAAATGTTATTATTGCTACAAGAAGCTTCGAGTCATTGCAAAAACTTATGAATAGCTATAAATTTCACCGCAATAATAAATATGTGGCTATATCATTTATGACAATTAATTATAGTTATTGAGCCGACTATTGCCATGATTTATTTAAAAATTGAAGCAAAATTATTTTCTCAACTACAACATTTTAATTTAAATAATTTATTGTGACTAAAAAATTTATTTTGCTATAGTAAGTTTCAGCCTGTGGCAAAAACTATTGATTAGCTATGAAAGTTATCATATCAAAATATATGTGGCTATATTATTTTGTCATGACAAATAATCGTAGCTATTAAGCCAACTATTGCCACAACATTTTATAACTTGAAGCAAAAATATTTATTTAGCTACAATAATTTGTTTCAAAAAATTTATCGTGGCTAAAAGTATAATATTGCTACGGTAACTTTTAACCCATGGCAAAAATTTATGATTAGCTATGAAATTTTACTGTAGCAATAAGTTTGTAGCTGTTTAGGTAGTTATTGCCACAAAAATTAGTAATTATAGCAAAAATAATGAATTAGCTTTGTAAATTTAGTTTTGTGGCTAAGAAATTTTAAGAATTTGTAGATAGCCACGAAATTCTAATTTTTGTGGCTATTAGTGAGTAATAGCTACGAAATTTAGATTTGTAGCTTAGATTTTGTAGCTACAGATACATTTTGTTGCAGTGGGTATTGTATTTTATCTCGTTAAAATATTTGGTGTCGTTGTTACTCTCTTGTGTTATTATTATTTACCGTGAATATTATTCCTGGACGGGATTATTATTTTTATTCCCAACATTCGTTGGACCAAATCATATTTTTTAAAACTTTGGGGTTGGTTTCAAATATTGAATAACAGGAATTAGCTTAATTAGTATTAATCATAAAAGGGATCTAAATCTTTAAGAATTAAAACTTGGGGTTGGAATCGTCAAAAAAAGACATGAAAAGGGATGCTGTATTGAGATCCCCCGAGAAAGGAAGAAAACAAGATGGTTGCCGGCGGGGCGAAGCTACACTCTGCTAAGGATAGTCAATTGACCATTCTTCGGCGGAAAATTATACTGCATATATAGGTAAAATATTAGGTTTTAGAGGTATTTAACATATATTGAATATTATTTGTCGAAATTTTTTTTACTTCTTTCAAGTTTGAATACCCTTTGAAAAATTTCTGACTTCGTCACTGGTTGCCGAATGTGCTATTTGGAGAAGAAAGAGAAAAGGGAAATAAAAAAGAATAATAAAGAAAAAAATTAAAACATGTAAAAGAAAAAAAAAATGGAACAAGACTTTTTAAATAAAATATACACGTGTTTGGAGCATGCGTTTTATCTAAGGGTGTTAAACGCGTGGGCCGGGCCGGGCTGGGTTGGCTTTTTTTGGACCCGTACGGGTTATGGTCCGGGCCGGTTACGGGTTGGGGCTTAACGGGCTTAACGGGTTCGGGTTCATCCGGGTAAAAATTGAACCGTAAGGGTTACGGGTTGAGGGGGCCGGGCCGGGTTTAGTGTTTTTTTTTTTTTTTTTTTTTTTGTATAACTATTGTAAGTTATATTAATACTTTGTATTAATATAAAGAATACAAGGAAAGATGAGAAAAAATTGCACTTATAAATTGCAAGTGCTACATTTTTTTCAAAATTACAAAATTAAAGTTTGCATTTAAAAAGTAAATTAACATCTTATGTATTTTTATTGTGTACTAAAATATTTTTAATGCCTAACTTATGTATTTTTACATAGTATCAAGTTGTTTATTTGATGTATATTTATGATTTGAGCATTTATACCCTAAATATATACACTATATTTTTTATAACCTAGGATCCGGTATTTTACCTTATATAATGCTCCTATATGATTTAAATTATATTTCTTTCATTTTAAATACGTATAAAATATATACGCAGGGTATAATCAAGACTTATAAAATATATACTCAAAGCAATTTCCACTGTAAAACATACAAAAAAGTGACAAAAGTATTCCACTATTGTTACATGTATCATACTTGCAAATTATGTGTATGATATATATGTTAAATTCCAACAATTTTAAATTATGTTAATTAGTATACAATAATTGGTATATTCATGGTATGTGTAAGATATAAAATATTTATACTAGAATATACCACTATTATGTTTTTAAAAATTAGACAGGTATGTAAAGCTCCCAAAAAAAATTAAAAAAAAAAAAAATTTACCCATTAAACCGGTCCGGGCCGGGCCGGTTAACCGGTTTAACGGCACTGTTCATCTAACGGGTTGTACCGGTCCGGGTAACCGGTATTTAAAAAGTAAACGGAGCAACCCGCGCGGCCCCCCTAACCCAGCCCAGCCCAGCCCCCTTTAACCGGGCCGGGCCGGTTCCGATTTTAACCGGTCTGGGCCGGTCCGGAACCGGGCTGACCCGGCCCGTTTAACACCTATAGTTTTATCTCCCTGGACAAATTTGCTTGTAATGTTTAAAGGTGATATCCGAACAAATTGAAATTGACGAACCGAGTAAATCAAATTAGAACTGTACAAAAAATGAATCATACTAAATTTAATTAGGTTTTGTATTGATACAACATTTTAAGAAAATGAATACGGAACATACCGAATCAAAGATCTATCAAAGTCATACCAAATTGATCGATGAACAACCTGCTCAAAAACCCGAACAAATTAGCCTAGAAAAAGAGTAATTTTCGAGCTTTTAAGTTTTTTAACAGATATCTCTCTGAAATTTAATGTAAATACCAAATTTAATCTAAAACTCCAATGGGACACAAGACAAAGGGAAAAAATCGACATGGAAAATGCCTCAATTAATTTCGATATTTAAGTAGAACAAATAAAACGTAGAATTAAAAGGAAGCAGAGAATTAGGTTTGTTCAAGTAGTCTTTTTAAAAAGGAAAAAAATGTTTACTCTTTCTCGTCCCACAATTTTTCTAAATATAGGTCATATAATTGACAAGATTAAGAAAATTCGCTGAAGTACTAATTTCATCTTCTTTTTTGCCTTTTCAACCTTTTGGTGTATTTTATGTTAAAAGGAAAAAAAAGTAATTAATACTTATTAAAATGTGGATACATCCCTTATAAGAAAATTTTATCATAACCTGATTTCTTCCCTAAAAGCTAGCATTCTTTTTCTTGAAGAATAAGAAGAATCTCTACATATAACAGAAAACCCTAGATATGCAGCATTTCCACCAAAGAAAGGAGAGTTCACTTCAAACACCAAAATAGACGAATGGCAGATTTAGATCTACCTAACGAAATCACTACAATTGTTCTCTCAAATTTACCTGTCAAATCCCTGCTGCGATTCAAGTGTATTTCTAAGCCATGGAATTCTTGGATCTCAAGCCGCCGACGACAAGGAGCAATTGCTTGGAATTCTTGGAACTCTACACTTTTCTTCCGATTCATAAACCAACAACTCACTTTAGACGAACTCAATTATACTTCAAGTGATGATGATATTTACCTGCTAAGTTGTAGCCTTTTGGGTTCTTGTGATGGTCTTATACTGATTAATCGAAACGAGCATATTTACTTGTGGAATCCTACCACCCAATTTTACACCAAAGTGCTTGAGCTTGATCGCTTGAACGACGATGGCTATTCGATACGCGGGGGACTTTGTTTTGACTCCTCCAAAAATGTTTATAAGGCAGTGTTGATTATGCGCCATCAGACCCCAGATTATGGTGGTGAATTTGTTATAGTTACTAGTCTTAAGGACAAAAGATGGAGGACAGTCAAATTCCCTTATGATATCTGCTCAGTCTGTGATGGGATTACACTACATGGACGACTTCACTATAGGTTAAGGGTTAAAAAGAAAGACGAGAGTATGTGGGATAGTTTTGGTCCTTGTAAAGTGTAATGATCTTAAATCGAATTAAGGAAATCGAAATACAGAAATGGAAATAGAGCGTTTTTGGGATAATTTTCTGGTACATTGAATTAAAAGAAACTATCTATTACAACTGGAAGGAAGAACTAAAGCTAACGAGTCTCCATAGCTGTGTTACCTGAAGAGAAGAAGAAAAAAAAATCAGTAAGGAAGAAGGAGAAGAAGAAGAGAGTAAGGGAGAGAAGAGAGGAGTCGAAGAGAGAGAAGAACGTTTACTTTGCTGAATGTCGATGCCGTTCCTCTTCCAGTTAGTTATAACAACCAATGCTGACGTGGCTTAATCATAGCCCTTGGGCTTCATTAAAACTCTAATTAATCTCAGCCGTTCATTTGAATTTTAGTTACTCCTTCCTAATTTCCGTTATTAGCTGCTACTCACTTCGAACCCAGCTGAAGGCATTGCTTAAGGTCATAACATTCCCGCCCCCTTCAAACAATCCTTGTCTCAAGGATTGGAATCAAAGTCTGGGAATCTCGTCTTGATGTAGTGATAGTCCTCCCAAGTAGCATCTTCAGGAGGAAGATTTGACCACTGTATTAATACCCTCACCACAGCAGAACTATCCCTCTTTATGAGCTGCCTCTGCAAAATAGCGACTGGTTTTACTAGAAACTTGCCATCATCTCCAGTCATTGGAAGAGTAGTCTGTACTACCACCTTATCTCCTACTTTCTTTTTGAGCAAGGACACATGAAATACAGGGTGGATCTTAGATTCAGGTAGAAGATCTAATTTGTAAGCCACCTTGCCAATTCTTGCCAAAACCATGTAGGGGCCATAGTATTAGGAGCTCAATTTTAAATTCTTCCTTAAGGCTAGGGATGTCTGCCTGTATGGTTGCAACTTCAAATACACCATGTCTCCAGCTTGAAATTCCCTGTCTGACCTCCTTTTATCAGCATAATATTTCATCCTCTCCTGAGCTTTAGTGAGGTGTTCCTTCAAGAGTTGTTGCATCTGTTGTCTATGCATCACTGTTCCTTCAGCAGCTGGTACCCTAGTTTCTAATAAGGGTCCTAGTGACAGTTGAGGAGGTGAAAATCCATAAAGAGCTTCAAAGGGAGTACATTGCAAACTGGTGTGGAAATTGGTGTTGTACCACCATTCTGCAGCAGGCAACCACTGTTTCCACTATGTTGGCCTATTAGCAGTCATGCACCTTAGATAATTTTCTAGACATCTGTTGACCCTTTCTGTTTGTCCATCACTTTGGGGGTGATAGGCAGTGGTATAGTGGAGTTGTGTTCCCAGGAGTTTGAATAGAGCTTGCCAAAAGTGACTCAAGAACACCTTGTCTCTGTCTGTTACAATAGATTCTGGAATCCCATGCAGACAATGTATCTTTTCCCAAAACACCTCAGCTACAGTTACAGCTGTATAAGGGTGGGCAAGTGCTATAAAGTGGGCATACTTTGTTAGTCTGTCCACAACCACTAGAATAATTTCCTTGTTTCTGGACTTGGGCAATCCTTCTATAAAGTCCATGCTAATGTGTCTCCAAGCTTGGTTTGGGATAGGTAGGGGTTGCAGCAACCCTGGGTAGGCCATATGGTCATCCTTGCTTCTGAGGCACACATCACAGCTGGCCACATGATCAATGACCATCTGTTTCATCCTTGGCCAATAAAATACTTGTGACAGTCTTCTTAGAGTTCCCAGTTGACCTGAATGTCCCCCTATAAGAGAGTCATGAAAGGTGGATATCAATTGAGTTCTGAGTTCCCCACTGGTACCAATGTAAATTTTGCCCTTCTTTCTGATATGCTAGCATTGTAATGCCATATGCTAGGTCCTTGTTGGGTCACAGCCAGTTGGCTAATGATTTCAGTAGCCTTAGGATCCCCTTCATAGCTGTGTGTTATTTCCTGCACCCATGCAGGAACTGAAACACTGATGGCTTGTAAAGTACCCTGGAGTTGGTTCATTGAAACTTTAAGGCCTTCCTGTTGTCTGGACAGGGCATCAGCAACCCTATTTTCAGCTCCTTTCTTGTACTGCACCTCATAGTCCATCCCAAGTAGTTTAGTCAACCCTTTTTGTTGTATGGCTGTAGTTACTCTCTGCTATAGGAGATATTTTAAACTGTGGTGGTCAGTCCTCACCACAAAATGCTTGTATTGTAGGTAATGCTTCCACTTCTCCACTGCATTTAGCAAAGCCATATACTCCTTTTCATAGATAGATTTGCCCCTGTGTCTTGGGGCTAAGACTTTACTAAAATAAGCTATGGGCCTACCTTCCTGCATTAGTACAACCCCAATGCCCATTTGGATAGCATCAGTTTCCACTATGAACTCCTTACTATAGTCAGGTAGTGCTAGTACAGGTGTAGAAGACATAGCCCTCTTTAATTTTTCAAATGCTAACTCTGCCTCCTCACTCCATTTGAAAGCATCCTTTCTCAACAAATCAGTCAAGAGCCTGCAAATGCTGCCATAGTTGGTAACATACTTCCTGTAATACCCAGTCAGTCCCAAGAATCCTCTTAAAGCTTTCACAGATTTGGGGGTGGGCCAGTCAATCATAGCCTTGATCTTGGAAGGGTCAGTTGACACTCCTTTCACAGTTATAATATGCCCCAGATATTCAACTTTGGACTGACCAAATGAACATTTAGATCTTTTTTCAAATAAGGAATGTTTCCTTAAGATGCTAAACACTGCACTCAAATGAGCTACATGTTCCTTCTCAGATAGGCTGTATACCAATATGTCATCAAAGAAAACTAACACAAATTTCCTGAGGAAGGGTTGAAAAACCTGGTTCATCAAGGCTTGGAAGGTGGCTGGAGCATTTGTTAGCCCAAAGGGCATCACCCTGAACTCATAGTGGCCCATGTGAGTTCTGAAATCAGTCTTGTACACATCCTCCACCTTCATTCTGGTCTGGTGGTAGCCAGCCCTCAAATCCACCATTGAAAACATCACAGATCCACACAACTCATCCAATAGATCATCTACAATGGGTATGGGGTATTTATCCTTAATTGTGATGTCATTCAGCCCTCTATAATCTACACAGAATCTCCATGATCCATCTTTCTTCTTGACAAGTAAGGCTGGGGAAGAGTAGGGTGATTGACTATGCTGTATGATGCCATTAGTAAGCATCTCCTTAACCTGCCTTTCTAATTCCTCGTTCTGGTAATAGTTGTACCTGTAGGGCCTCAAACTGACTGGCATTGCTCCTGGTTTCAAGGGTATGCTATGGTCTAATGTTCTGACAGGAGGCAAGGTCTTGGGCTCAGCAAAGACATCTGAACATTGCTGTAGTACCTCTTCAATGGCCTCCCCCACTGGCTCTTGTTCTTCAGTATTAACAGTACTCATCATGAATAGGTGAGCTATTAGAGCCTGACCTTTCCTTAACATCTTGCCCATGGTTCCACTGGAGATCATAGTCAGCTTTCCTTCATCAGTGATGCCTTGTAACACCAGCTTGTTACCATTCTTACCAATGGTAACACACATCTTCTCATGATCAAATTTGGTTGGATTGTGCTTCTTCATCCAATCATTCCCCATAACCATATCACAGCCTCCCAATGGAATAATTAATAGATTCTCTTGGAATGGTCTGCCCTGCATCTTCCACTGATAGCTCATGCAAATTGCAGTACATATAACATAGTTTCCATCAGCAACTATTACCCTCACTGGTGGGCAGGGTTGAGCTTGGTATCCCGATTCCTTGACTGTGGAGGCATCAATGAAACTGTGAGTACTCCCTGAGTCAATCAATACTGTTAGTTTCCTATTGCCTATAGTCCCTCGTACCAATATAGTATTAACTCCTTTGTTATCCCCTGATAGAGCATTTAAACACACTGCCTCTATAACTTCCTGTTCCATTTCCCCTTCAATGATCAGTCCTGTAGAGTCTTGCTCTTCTTCTATTTCACCAATCTCAATAGGAACTTCTGTTGTTCCCGTCATACTATTCAATTGCTTCCTCTTGCATTGGTGGCCTGGAGCATATTTCTCACCACATTTATAACACAAATGAATAATTTTCCTGTACTCATAAACCTCAGGGCTGAGCCTAAATGAAGTTGGCTTGACTGTAGTTGTAACAGGTGTCTTATTGTTGTTAGAGCTGCCAGTATTCTGAAATGATTTAGCCACTACCTTTGTACGCTTAAGAGCAGCCTCGATAGCCTTCTCCTGTAACCTAGCCTGTTCCACTGCAAACCTTAGAGTTGTAGGTTTGAAGAGTTTCACCCCAAACCTAATCTCCTCCTTCAAGGCTCCAATAAATCTAGATATGAAGTGTGACTCATCTAAGTTAGGGTTCCTGATCGGCATTTGGGCTTTCAAATATTCAAATTTACCTAGGAATTCGTCTACTGTTCCCGTCTGGTTCAACTTATTGAATTCCTCTACTATGTCTCCCATTAATTCTTCTCCAAATCGGATCAATAATTCCTCCTTAAATTCAGCCCAACTTATTTCCCCTTTACTAAGGATTAAGGAATCATACCAGATGTCTGCCAAGCCATTTAAGTAGAGGGCAGCTGCTTCCACCTTCAAATTCTCTAGAGTCTTATACAAGTTAAAGTACCTCTCACATTTTCGGATCCATCCTTTAGGTTCATGGCCTTCAAAATAAGGTAGCTCCCATTTCGGCGCAGGAGCTTGTACTGCTGGAGGTCGATGGTGCCTTACCTTTGGGCCTGGCATGGGCAATAATCCATCACCTTGAGGTCTCTCTCCTTGTGCTCTTGCTGGAACCCTCTCCAGATTAGTCAGTCGTTCGAGTATCAGCTCTAGTGTGCCTTGTATGTCAGTTTGAGTGTTGCTGAGTGCCTCCTGAGTGTTTACTACCTCATTAAGGACCTCTTCGTGTCTAACCAGTCTATCATCCATACCTTCAATCTAGTTCCTTCAACCATCAGCTCCTCACAGTCGCAGGATCGAGGCTCTGATACCAATTGTAATGATCTTAAATCGAATTAAGGAAATCGAAATACAGAAATGGAAATAGAGTGTTTTTGGGACAATTTTCTAGTATATTGAATTAAAAAAAACTATCTATTACAACTGGAAGGAAGAACTAAAGCTAACGAGTCTCCATAGCTGTGTTACCTGAAGAGAAGAAGAAAAGAAGATCAGTAAGGAAAAAGGAGAAGAAGAAGAGAGTAAGGGAGAGAAGAGAGGAGTCGAAGAGAGAGAAGAATGTTTACTTTGCTGAATGTCGATGCCCTTCCTCTTCCAGTTAGTTATAACAACCAATATGGAAAGGGAGCATGTTAACATTAGCTTGATTCAACAAGGACCAGTAGTAACTGCATCACAAAGGAAGATGTTAGAGGAGTAGTTTACAGAGAAAGAGGTAAAGAAAGCTGTATGGGCAATAAATGGAGATAAATCATCAGGGCCAGATGGATATGGAAGCAAATTTTACAAGGATAGTTGGGAGATAGTGGGTAAAGATGTTATAGAGGCAGTAAGGGAGTTCTTTAGAAAAGGAGAGATGTTTAAAGTGTGAAATCAAATAGTAATAACAGTGATACCAAAGGGAAACCATGCTTCAAGTGTGGGGGATTATAGACCAATAGCAGGATGTAACACTATATACAAAGTGGTGTCAAAGATGTTATGTAACAGATTAAGACTAATATTGCCTACGATCATATCATAGAATCAAAGTGCATTCATTTCAGGAAGGACAATAGTGCAAAATGTGTTGATTTGTCGGGACTTGGTCAGGCTATACAGAAGGAAAAATACTACTCAGAGTTGCCTAATTAAGATAGACTTGAAGAAGGCCTATGACAGTGTGGAATGGGCATTTGTAGAAGAGATGTTGCATGCAATGAACTTCCCTCAGAAGTTCATCAAATGGATCATGGCTTGTATAACAACCACGCAGTACAGTGTAGCAATAAATGGGGGATTATATGGAAATATAACAGGGTAAAGAGGCTTACGACAGGGTGATCCTATTTCACACTTGATCTTTGTCATATGCATGGAATACTCAACCAGAATTTTAAATAAAGTGGTTGGGATGAAGGAATTTGGATTTCATACAAAATGCAAAGGAATGAAGCTGAATCATCTGTGTTTTGCTGATGACCTACTGCTGTTTTGTAAAGAAAACTATCAGTCAGCAATGTTGATGCTAAGGGGTCTACAAGCTTTCTCAAATGCTTCAGGATTGACAACAAATGCAAGCAAGTTGTAACGACCCGAATTTTCGTTTTAAGAATTTGCGTCTCGTTCAACGGCTTAAGATCGCGAGAAGCTTCGTAATACACATTATGACTCACATGTATGGTCAAGTTTGGTTTTCGTAAGATTCGGAGTTAAATTTAAAGAAAAAAATCAAAATCTTATTTTTGAAGATCAAATGGGAAGAGTTGACCGGAGAGTTGAGTTTTGAGCAAACGACCCCAAATTGGAATTTTAATGATGTCAATAGTTTCGTATGGTGATTTCGGACTTAGACGTGTGTCCGAAATTGGATTTGGAAGTCCATAGGACAATTCGGTGCGTTTTGGCGAAGTAAGAAAGTTAACGTGTTCTAATTATATTATTTTACTAGGGATGCCTTAATACATTTTCCATGAGAAATTATGACTTTCCCCCGCAAAAGTCATTTTTCTTATAATGCTTTGCTATTTCTATTGTTTCTGTTGATAGTATTGAAATATTATATATTTCGTCTTTTTTCGTTTTCTAACAAAAATAGTTTTTTTACTCCATGGGGTAGGGTTAAGGTATGCGTAGGTACTACCCTCCCCAGACTCCTTACTTCTGGGATTTTACTAGGTTATTATTGTTGTTGTTGTTGTTGAGGAAGACGCCAACTCCACTCTCTACAAACATTTTTTTAAATATATGATTTCATTTTTCAAGTAAAGAGAATAGTGATAATGGTGTTGCACGAGGATGTATGAAATCAAAAGGTATGAAGAGTTGATGTTTCGTATGTTTTAAGCGTTCTCGTTTTTCTTCTTTTCTTTTTCTGTTTTGGTTTTTCTTCAATTTCCTTGTTTTTTCTTTTCTTTCTTTGTAGCTGCTATCTCTTTTTTACATACTAGTATGTAGGTACGCGTGTACTTCATCATATAATTTTTTTAATATCTTATAAACATTGTATTACTAGTTGTGTTTGAGTTGTAAAATAAAAAAATTTAGAAAAAAATCCTTGTTAAATAACGAATATTGATCCTATTTAGTTAAAAGAATACTGAATTTAACACTTAATCGTCACGACCAGGATTTTCCACCCTCGGGAGTCGTGATGGCGCCTACTAGTGAAAGCTAGGCAAGCCAATCAACTGAATTATTCGCCTTGTTTCCATTTTTAAATTCGTTAACAATTTAGAACCAACAATCTATAAACAACATAATTTAATCAAGGGGAAGATTCAATTTCAGGTTTTATAATACTGCTAACACCATTCCATAACAAAACTACCCAAGATTGGTGTCACAACTTCACAGACTGTCTAAGATTACTACAAATAAAGGTCTGAAAGAAATAATACAACACTGTCTCTGGAAATACAAGAAAGAAACAGGAATAATAGCTAGAAGGAGACGCCAAGGCCTGCGGACGCCTGCAGGACTACCTCGGGTCGCCTGATGGACCAGAAGCAGCAACCTCATTGCGGTCCGAAATCTACAATACTGGGATCTGCACAAAAGAGTGCAGAGTGTAGTATCAGCACAACCGACCCCATGTGCTGGTAAGTGCCTAGCCTAACCTCGACGAAGTAGTGACGAGGCTAGGACCAGACTACCAAAATAAATCTGTGCAGTTAAATCATATACAGCGGAACAGTACAAGCAGAAATGTACAGCTAAGGATGGGAGGGGGAAACATGTTGTGGGGACATCGAATAATAACAGAAGAACAACGAATAAATATAAAGATCACCACAGTTCAATTGAAGATAGGAAGGGGGATCATGTTGCGGGGTACAACAAGTATCAACAGAAATCCAACAATTAAATGTAGAGAAACCATAACTCAGTTATCAATAAAAATCAGGAAATCAAAGACAAGTGCACGGCATCCCCCTTCGTGCTTTAACACTCTCTCACCAAATCAATGCACGGCATCACCCTTCGTGCTTTATCACTCTCTCACCAAAATAATGCACGGCATCACCCTTCGTGCTTTACACTCTTCCTCACCCAATCAACAATCACAAAGCATTTAGGCAAGGGAATCAATAACATCACAATAAAATCAAGTAACAACAGGAAATCGGTAAGTAAGTGTAAAGAACACCTTAACTCAATTACCAGTAAAATCAAGGACAAGTGTACGACATCACCCTTCGTGCTTTTACTCTCGTCCTTACCATGAAAATCAATATAAACTGCACGGCATCACCCTTCGTGCTTTTACTCTCATCCGCACCATAAAATCAATATAATCGGCACGGAATGGTACATCGTGCGGCACGGCATCACCCTTCGCGCTTTACACTCTTCCTCAGAAAATAATACACGGCATCACCCTTCGTGCTTTAACACTCTCTCACCGAAACAATGCACGACATCACCCTTCGTGCTTTACACTCTTCCTCACCCAAACAATAAACACAAACAATAAGAGCAAGGAATAAATGAATCATAATAAAATCCGGCAAGGGAACAATATCAAAACAACTTCCCGGCAAGGGAACAACATTAAAAGCAACAACGTCCCGGCAAGGGATCAATACTTCCTCTTCTCATTTTCACATTTACTTCGCAACTTGATTCACAATTTGAGCCAATGCTCTATAAGGTTCAATTGCCAAATTATACTTCCACAAATTACTTTACAACGTGAGCCAACGCTCTTCAATATGCAATTACCAATAGTCTTTCCACAAACCTTTCTCAATAATAGTAATCACCACATTAAACATGAATAATACAAACGGAGTCGCATTAATCACAACATAAGACTTATGGGCATGCTTGACACCAACATATAGATACTCGTCACCATGCCTATACGTCGTACTCAACAAAACACATAGCAAATAGGACACAACTCCTAATCCCTCAAGCTAAGGTTAGACCAAACACTTACCTCGATGCCTCGAACACAGTTCAAGCCTCAACTATCGCTTTACCTCTTGATTCTGTGAAGCGCTACTGTGTTAAAACATAAAATCAGAAAACTGTTAGAAGAATAAAAGAAACTGGAAAACAGTAAAGAATAAGAAATATTCCGAGTCCACAATTTGCTTGTGCGTCCTTAAGGAATTTTAACCCCCTCACACGTTGCCAAGGTAATGGATTAAATCCTCCCAGGATGAAACGGAATAAACCTTCCTGCAACAGTGGCAATACAAACTGCAGGATACCAACGAACTCAAAGAACGGAGCAAAATCATACTTACGAATTTGAGAGAGAGAGACTACGAATTAGAATGTAGTATTTCCAGAAAAAAGGAAGTTCTGTAATTTTTCAGTGTGTTAAAAACAAAGCCATGCCTCTGAATTTATAGGCAATTATTGGAAGAGGTGTGATGTTTGTTCTGGAAAAGGTGTCTGTTCAGAATTTTACGCGTCCTGCCGCGGTCCTACCGCGGTTACGCCAGGACCGCGGCCAGAGTGGCCTTCTGAATCTGCGTCCTGCCGCGGTCCTACCGCGGTTACGCCAGGACCGCGGCCAGAGTGACCTTCTGAATCTGCAGATTTAATTAATTATTAAATAATTAATTAAATAACTTTTGTCCAAAAATAATCTTATCGAGCGATCATTTGACAAATCCAAATCCAAAGCAAAAGCCGAAGCCGAGCCGAGCGAGCGATGACGACGGCGCGATGGTTCATTCTCTTCAACTCCTTTTAAGAGCTTTAAGAAGTGATTCTATATATAAGCACACAAATGTAGTTGTCCCTCACCGATG